ACCATGCTGTTTTTTTTTTAATCACAGTGGCTTTGTAAATATTTTCAAGGTGGGCATTGTGATATCCCCTGTCTGTTGCTTAGAATGGCTTTTGCTATTCTAGGTCTCTTCTGGTTCCAGATGAATTCTTGGATTGTTTTCTCTAGTTCTGTGAAATATACTGTTGGGATTTCAATTGGGATTGTATGGCCATTTTCACTATGTTGATTCTTCCTACCCAGGACAAGGAATGACTGTCCATTTTCTTATATCCTCTTCAGTCTCTTTTTCAGAGTGCTGTAGTTTTCAGTGTAGAGGTCTTTTGCTTCCTTCGTTAGATTGATTCCTAGATATTTAATTTTTAGGATGTTATTGTGAAAGGAATTGTTTCCTTAATTTCTCTCTAGTGAGTCTGTTATTTGTGTATAAGAAGACTATTGATTTTTGAGTGTTGATCTTGTATCCAGCTACTCAGCTGAAAGTGTCAATTAAGTCTAGAAGTCTTTTGGCAGAGTTTTTGGGTCTTCTATGTAGGGTATCATATTGTCAGCAAATAATGACAGTTTAACTTCTTCCTTTCCTATCTTTATTGCTTTTATTTCTTTCTATTGTCTAATTGCTGTGGCTAATGTTTCTAGAATTATACTGAACAGGAGTGGTGACGGTGGACATCCTTGTCTTGTTCCTGATTTTAGCATGAAGGTTTTCAGCTTTTGGTCATTTAATATGATGTTGGCTATTGTTTTTTTGTAGGTAGCCTTTATCAAGTTGAGATAAAGACCATCTATTCCAATTTTCTGCAGGTTTTTTTTTTTTAATCATGAATGGGTGTTGAATTTTGTCAAATGCTTTTTCTGCATCTTTTGAGACGATCATATGGTTTTGCCCTTAACTCCATTAATATAGTGTATTACATTTATTGTTTTACATATGTTGAACCATCCTTGCATCCCTGAGATAAGTCGGACTTGGTCAGGGTATATGATCTTTCTTTGCCAGTATCTTATTGAGGATTTTTGCATATATGTTCATTAGGGAGATTGTCCTGCAGTTCTTTTTTGTTTTTTGTTTTTTTTTGGTACCAGGGATCAAACAGGTCATTGCGCTTGTGAGTCTGGTGGTGGAACCACTGAGCTAAATCCCAGGCCCCTGTAGTTCTTTTATGGTTGAGTCTTTCCTGGGTTTTGGAATTAAAGTATCACTTGCTTCCAGGAATGAATTTGAAAGTATTGCTTCTCTTTCAATTTCATTGAAGAGTTTAAACAATAGTCGTAATAGTTCTTCTCTAAATATCTTGTAGAATTCCGCAGTGAAGTCATCAGGACTTGGGCTTTTCTATATTGGTAATGTCTTAATTACATTTTCAATTTCACTGATTGTAATTGGGGTGTTTAGAATTTTTTTTTTTTATCTTCGTTCAACTTTGGTAATTCATATGTATCTAGAAATCTGTCCATTTCTTCTGTTTTCCATTTTATTAAGAGTACAGGTTCTCAAAGTAGGGTTTGATGATCTTCTGGGTTTCTGCTGGATCTGTTGTGACTTCATCTTTTTCATTCCTAATTGCCTGGATTTGAGCCTTTTCTTTCCCTTTTTTGGATAATATTGGCTAATAGTTTATTCATTTTATTTATTCTATGGAAAAACCAAGTCTTTGATTCATTGATTTGTATGTGTGTGTGTGTGTGTGTGTATGTGTGTGTCTCGTTCTTAGTCTCCATTGCATTGATTTCTGCTCTGATCATTATGCTTTCCTCCCTTTTATGAGTTTTGGGTTTGTCTTGCTCTTTTTCTAGGAGCTTAAGATTCAACATTAGGTTATTTATTTTAGCTTGCTCTGTTTTCCTAGTATGGAAATTCACTGCTAAGAATTTTCCTCCAGAACTGCTTTCATTGTGTTCCATAGATTCCTTTATGTTGTGCTGACATTATCATTTATTTGTAAAAACTTTTAATTTCTTTAATTTCCTCTGTGACCCATTCGTTGTTCAAGAGAGTGTTTGATTTGCATGTGTTTGTGCACTTCTTGTGGCTTCTTATGCTATTGATTTCCAGTTTAATTGCACCGTGGTCTGATAATATACATGGGATAGCTTCAACTCCTTTGCATTTACTTAAACATGTTCTGTGAGCTAGTATTTGGTCTGTTTTGGAGAATGGCCCGTGTGCAGCTGAAAAGAATGTATATTCTGATTTTCTGGGTTGGAAATCTCTGTAGATTGCTGTTAAATCTATTTGTTCAAAACCTTGATTCAGTTCTTGTATATTTCCTTGTTGACTTTTTGTCTAGATGACCTGTTTGTGACAGTGGGGTATTAGGTACCCCACTACAATTTTATTAGTGCTTATTTGGTTTTTCATGTCCCTTAATATTTGTTTTACATAGTTGGGGGCATTAATATTTGGTGCATGTATATTTATGAGTGCTATCTCTTCCTCTTGGATTGTTCCCTTTACACAGATGTAGTGATCTTCTTTGTCTCTCTTAATTAGTTTTGGCTTGAAATTTATTTTTTCTGCAAATCAGATTTCTACCCAGATTTTTTTTTTTTTTGCATTCCTGTCACTTGAAGAACTGTTTTCGATTATTTTATCAGTTTGAGTTTCTTTTTCAAGTAGGTGTGTTTCTTGTATATAGCATATTGTTGGATTTTGCTTCTTAATCCATTCTGCCAGTCTGTTTCTTTTGATTGGTGAATTGAGGCCATTAACATTGATGGTTATAACTGATATGTATTATCATTGTCATGTTATTCTCCTGTTGTTGACCTTTTTAATTATCTGCCCTCCCTTTAATTTCTTGCTTTGCCTAATGGATTTGCTCTGTTAGACCTCATGGACTTGTGACCCTCATTGTCTTTTTGTAGGATATTGTTTAGAATTGCCAAAGTAGTTCTTCTAATGTCTGATCATATTAACCACCATTTGCTTCCTTGAGAGCTCTACTTTAGGTCTAACATTGAACTTAATTTGTCTTGAGTCAGTTAAAGAAGTCAGTTTCTCTCTCCTTATTCTTTGTCTCAGTATCTTTCTGTAGTTCTCAAAACTGATTAGATTTTTCTGTCATAAATGGTTTTAAATCTTCTTTTTCCTTTCTTTTGAATGTTCCTACCTGTAGTTGCAAGTTCTCATGCATGACATATGCTCCTCGACTTACTTGTGTAACAATGCTCAAACTTGCTGTTATAATATGTTTAGTATTAATATTGCTGGTTCTACATATACATGGTAAGGAGTGGCTTTGCTTTCCTTCCCTCAGATAAACTCTGATCTCTGGTATAGAATACTTTGTGTTGCTAATGATGAAAAAATGTATAACCCTCCCATTTTTCTCTTGATATGTATTTTTGCTCCTAAATCAAGTTGACAAACTTTGTAAAGGGCCAGAAAGTAGCGATTTAAGCATAGTAAGCCGTAGGATCTGTGTTAAACTAGTCAACTATGCCCTTAGAGTGCAAAAGCAGCCACAAATATATGTAATCTAATGAGCTTGCTGGGTTTCAGGAACGCTTTATTTGTGAACCCTAAAATTTAAATTTCACATAATTTTCACATTATGGTCCATTTTGATGTACTCTCCAACCCCTGTCCCAGCTGACTAAAATGTGAAAACCATTTTTGGCTCACGTGCTAAAAGTTTGCTTTCAATCCAGTGTTCTTTGACTGCAATACTCCTGTTGCTTAACCCAATTAGTTGGTGTCATTACTTTAATGTGCTAGTTATAGAAAGCCTTTGTACCTTGGTGTAGGGGATACTGAAAGGAAAGAATGTTTAATCATATCAAAATGCAAATGAGACTAAGTATTAAATGCCAGGCGACTTTTGGGCTTTTGAGGTCTTAAATTCAGTGATTTTAAGAAGTATTTGATTTTTTAGCAGTATTTGACAATAATTGCCTAGAAAAATATATTTGCAAATTAAATGCAGTGTCTGATTTATCACTTGAGTGATAATAACACCAATACTTATGTAACATTTTATGTAACTCCTATAATTTATGAAGTCATTTTCTGTGCACATCATCTCTCTTGATCTTCACAACATCCCTATATACTAATCTTAGAACTGGCATTTATCCCTATTTTTTAGATGAGGAATTGCTGTGAAAGGTTAAGTGACTGGCTTGGAAATTTGACAATGGTAGAACTCAACCCAGGCCTCTTGTCCATTGAACCACTCAGGGATTTTTTTTTTTTTTTTCTCATTGAATTTATTGGTACATTTTAGGTGTACAGTATAGTTGCATTCATCATTGGGATTTTGTACCTTTACGTTACAGGTCTTGGTTCTCATTTTTTCCCCTTGTGCTTGCCCTCCCTTCACCCTCTCCTCCCCTCCCCATTTGCAAACACTTTATTTCCATTTTTTCATATTTTTTTCTTTTACCTTATTACCTTTCCCCTACCCATCTCACTTTCCCTACACCTTTAGCCCTTTTTCTTCCTATTTCACATTGTCAGTAGTATCATTAGGATCTCATGTACTATTACATTTTTTCACACCAGAGAAACTATTCAGTATTTACGCATGTGTGACCTATTTATTTCACTTAGGAGCATATCCTCAATATGTATCCATTTTACTATGAATGAATCTAATTTCTCATTCTTTATGGTTAGTAGTATTCCGTTTTATAGAAAAAAAACATCTTCTTTATCCAGTCTCCAACTGATGGGCAAATGGGCTGTTAGGGAATTTTAGAAATAAAGCAACATCATAATGTTTGATTTGTCATTATAAAATAGAGAACCCTTGAGGCATTTTTAGTAATTTATAGAGTAAATTACTAGGTCAAAGTACTAGCCTAATGTCTGTTAGTGTGTGTCTGACATAGAGATAACTAAACTGAAATTCATTAATATTTTAATATTTATATAGTATTGTTTTAATATTTTCTTAGTAATTTAAAGTAAAATATTTAATTGCTCTTTAGCATAATAGTCAACCACAGAGCAGAGCTCGGCATCCTAAAATTCAGTGCACATATAATAATACAGACCAAACCTTTGTTCCTTTCTAGCACCAGCACTGGATGTTGACTGGCAGAGCAACAACACCTTTGCTTCTTGTAGTACAGATATGTGCATTCATGTCTGCAAATTAGGACAAGACAGACCTATTAAAACATTCCAGGGACATACGGTAAGAAGCTTTTTTTCGCTCTTTTGGGTGGGTACCAGGGACTCCTCAGGTAGTTGAGACTGCCCTTAAACTTGCTGTGTAGCCCAGGCTGGCCTCACAGTGATCTTCCTGCCTCCACCATGCCCAGCTCCTTTTTCACTCTTTAAAACAACTTCCTTCAGAATAGTTTAGAAATAGTATGTTTAATAGCCAAACAGCAACCTAAAGTGAAAATGTGAATATTTGTGGTTATTTTAGAATGAAGTAAATGCTATCAAATGGGACCCAACTGGCAATCTCCTGGCCTCCTGTTCTGATGACATGACTTTGAAGGTAATTTTGGTAATGGGAAGAAATGGGGCGGGGGTGTCCTCGTGTCGCTGCTTTTGCCATTTTAAGACCATTTTTCTCTGTTACATTAAATGCTTAAGGCTGGATGAGGGTTTATCCTTTTTTAATGTTTAATCATTTCGTTTTTGCATTTTACAAGTGATTAAAACTGAGTCCTCACCTCCAACAACTGACTCTAAATGAATCCTGGAAATCTTGGTTTGCTATTGTTGTCCTGAAATGCCTGCAATGGTTTTGGCTAGACAGTTCTTATACATGGTCTCCCATGGAAACATTACTATTAAGACTGCATTTCTTAATGCTTTTGCCTTGGAGTTCTTGTATGCACATGCACTAATGCTTGTAAAGTGGGGGAAAAAAAAACTTGTGGAAGAGTGTGTGGAACATGTGAGGAAGTGATAAAATCCTGGTGTCCAGAGATTGCACCAAGGATTAAGTTGCAAGCTAGAGAGATTGGTTGGAATTAGAAATTATTAGAGACTTTCTTCATCTTACGAATAGTTACAGTTCATGTAATATTTTAAAGTAGAAATGAGGTAAACAATATGTAATGCAACCATTTTCTGAAAACAATAACAGACAAAGCTTAAGAAACTCTTGAATTACCAGATCAAGAAGGATGACCTTGCAAAAAAGGAAATTGAAAATAAATGATCAAAGTGAAGAAGAGGGTACACGGAAACTGTTTCAGGGAATCAGTGTGGCAGCAGTATCATATGCTATTGAAAGGTCCAATAATTAAAAATTCCAGCAACATGTCTTGCGATTCATTCACAAAATGAATGGGGATTACAAAAGCCTAACCTACAGGAAAACTATGATACTACTTTATTATCTCTTACTAGTCACATTCTGTAAACGAATTACAGCTCATTTTTCTTCATTGGCTGCTGGAGTTGTGTGTGTTTGCAAAATCTCCCTGCCCCTGTCTGTATTGAATGGTTTCTGGAAATATTCTAGGTTATAAGTACTTTAAAAATCTGTACATGTGCACCTGTTTTCATGTTAAGAAAGCCTTATTCTTTAATCATTTTAAGATTGTAATTGTTGCATCTGTTACTTTTCATTAGTTTTGTATAATTCATCATTATATTATTTGTAAGTTGCTTACTTACTTTCACATCTCCATTGCAAAGTTTTTCTGATTGTAATTGTAAAAGCAATTAATGTAGGGCTTTAATTTGAGACAGAATAAAAACTATGCATTAAACATTTTAAGATCAAAAATATACATTTTGAGGGCTAGGGATTTAGCTCAGTGGTTCCACCACCTGCATCGCAAGCTCAAGGACTTGAGTTAGATCCCCAGTACCCATCTCCCAAATGTGTGTGTATGTGTGTATACACGTTTTGTACCATTTGACACTATCTAATGTGATTTTTAAAACAGGTGCATTTAGTTGATTTCAGACCTTCACAATAGTGACTATTTTTAAAGAACTTAAAAACTGGTTTATCATTCTTTATAGAATAATATATATTGCATAATCTGTTTAAATTCATTTGTAAATATTCCCTTGACTTCTGTAATTGTTTAGTATCATTTCTATTTTAGACTGGCCAGGTTGATTAAATAAACCCATGGTATGGAAAAAATTAAAAATTTCTTTCTTTCTTCTTTAGATATGGAGTATGAAACAAGACAATTGTGTCCATGATTTGCAAGCACATAATAAAGAAATTTATACTATTAAGTGGAGTCCAACAGGACCAGGGACAAATAATCCAAATGCCAACCTTATGTTAGCAAGGTGATAATTTCTTCACTCTTCCTTTTATGACTCTTCTATGAAATATATTAGGAAAGTTTCCATGAAATGCAAATCCTATAAGGAATATATTTTTAGTCAAAGCCTTTAAACATACAGTTTTATCATTAGTATTTCAGATGATAATGGTTTTTTCTATCTGGAGATAATCAAATATTGACTGACTGAACTTTGGTTAAAACACAAGTAATTGAAGCATACTGTAGTAATTTCATCAGCATCTTAAAAAAAAAGAGAGAAGTGAACTGATACAAGAGAAATCATGGGATATATACACTCTTGTGTCTGATTTATTTCACTTAAAGTGCATTCATCCATTTTCCTACAAATGGCTCTAGTTTATCTTCCTTTAGCACTCTAAAACGCAAAGTATAAAAAACAAAATAAAGGATAGATAGTAGGAATTATATCTTTTTCAAGTGGAAAGGGAATCAGGAGATGAAGAGAGGGGAGGGAAAGAGAATAAAAAAAGAATTGAGATGTTATGTACATGTACCAATTCCCCACAAGGAATGTAGTCAGTCATGTAATGCAAACATGTAGGATGGGAAGAGGAAGGGGATTAAAAAAAAAAAAAAGAAATGTGCCTACTCCCCATAAATGTGAAACAGCCAACATGTACTAATCAAAAAATAATTTTAAAATATACTAATAAAAATTTTTTAAAAGACATGAATTTCAAAATATGGTCAATTTGATATTCTCAACCATGAATCAGTAAAGAGAAGAATACAGTAATTAGTGCATTGATAATTCCCAATTCAGGGACCTGGAGATTACTTAAAGCTACTTTTTTCTCTTAACTTCAGTTTCCAGAATAAACCTTACAAAACAGTTTGTTTCTCATAAAGAATTTCTTAGCTATTTAGGAGCAGAATTTGAGAAGCTGGGTGCAAGGCTAGGAGAGTATTTTATTGCTTATGAATCTTTTTTCCTTTCCTTTTTCAGTGCATCCTTTGATTCTACTGTGAGGTTATGGGATGTAGACCGAGGGATTTGTATCCATACTTTGACAAAACACCAAGAGCCTGTGTACAGTGTAGCGTTCAGTCCTGATGGCAGGTATCTGGCGAGTGGTTCTTTTGACAAATGTGTGCACATCTGGAACACACAGGTATGTTATTCAAAGCGGCACAAGCTCCTATTTAGTTAGAACCTTTTGCTGGTACAGTTTATATCCCCATTTTAGTTATTCCTTGTGTGGTGTTAGGTTATAGCTTGGTTTTAAAAACATAAGAGATAAAGATAAAAATCAAACAAAATTATATTTTTGTGTGTGGAGCAGAATTTAGATATGGAGTTAGATTATTTATTATTATTTGAGTGAGAGTTTAAGATACATTTGAATAGATAAATGACATTTTATTTTCTAAAAGGATTATCTTTAAAGGAGCTATACATGTGTTTTAAAATGTATTAGAAGACAAGATTTTATGGCTAAACATCATTTCTCAGAGACTTATATAGCTACAGTACCTTATCAGAGACATTGTTTTAGAAATTCTTAACTGTAGAGGAAACAGCCTGTTGGTTTGTCTGTCTGTTTTTTTGTTTTTTTTTCTTGAGTTTATTGGTACATTTTAGGTATACGGTACAGTTACATTCATTATTGGGATCTCGTACCTTTGGTTCTCATTTTTTCCCCTTGTCCCTGCCCTCCCTTCACCCCCTCCTCCCCTCCCCATTTACAAACACTTTATTTCCATTTTTTCATTTTCTCATATTTTTTTTCTTTTCCCTTATTTCCCTTTCCCCTACCCTTCCTACTTTCCCTACACCTTTAGCCCTTTTCTTCCTATTTCACATTGTCAATTATCTCATTAGGATCTTATGTACTATTATAGTTTATTCACACCAGAGAAACAATTCAGTATTTACACGTGTGACTTATTTATTTCACTTAGGAGTATATCCTCAATATGTATCCATTTTCCTATGAATGAATCTAATTTCTCATTCTTTATGGCTCAGTAGTATTCCATTTTTATAACTTCATCAAAAAATATCCAAAAGTGATTATTTATAATAATTTGTAAAATCAAAAATGGCAATGATAAGCTACAAACAAGGAAATGACCCGCAATAACTTACTCCATTTATCCTGTGAAGAAAAGCGGAAGCGCAGTGACTCCTGCTGTTACACAAACAGCATACGGAGCCAAAGACAGAAAGCCTCCTTTTCTTTTCTCTTCTTTTCTATAAAATGGTTTTTTATAGAAAAAAACCACATCAGTTCTCTCCAGATTCTGGTTGCAAAACAAACTGAATGAGAACCGAATCAAATTTCCCAATAAAATAACATTGAACCTAACCATTGAATTTGATTGTGTTCTCTTCCAGATTGATATACAACCAAAATTTCAGAATCAAACTCACTGCAAACATTCTTTTATCTATTGACTAAATTTAATTGATAGCAACTTTCTGCCACACTTGTTTTAAGTCTTTCCTGTTTTTATGATAAAATGTTATATTGATATAGCTAAGGTGTTTACCTCTTTTCTTTTTCCTCTTTGTAGAGCTTATAATAGTCCCCAAAGAGGGTATCTCTTATTCCCCTGATAGATGATGCATACTTCTACTTTGTGTGTAAAATTATACAGAAATACTGCGATGTTGTATATATCTTTCCAGGCTTTTATATTGTCAAAGTCATAATCACATGGATATAGGTCTAGAATGATGGTTTGACTACTCTAGAGCATTGTCTTGTTCATATTTGTTTTGGTGGACTTGGTTAAATAGTTCAGTTGCTGTGAATATTCTTGCACATTTCTTGTGCAAATGAATGCTTTCTGATGATTCATTGTGTGTGTGTATGTGTGTAAATGGGCCCATTAATGAATACATGCCAAATTGTTCTCCAAAGTACTTAACACAAATTTACACTTCTAATAGCAGTATTCAACAGCCCCCCAAAAAGGATTTCCTATTTTCCTCTGTTCCAAGATTAGCCAGATGTTACACATTTTTCCAGTTTGATGGATATGAAATAGTACTTTGTTTTTCAGTTTGTTCTTCCTTGATTTTTATGAGTTTTAAGTATTTTTGCAAATAGTCAATGTTCAGCTGGACATTCTATTTTTTAGAGTAGGTGAATTCATAAAGAACACCATCCCCTCATTTTCTTATTGTCCTTTTTTTTTTTTTTGTAATATTGATTAGTTGGTGGTCTCTTTGCATTCTTGGTTATATAGATTGCAGCTATCTCCCAGGTCTTTAATTTTTTGATTAAAAGCCTTTAATGTCGGTGTTCAGATTTGTCAGTCTTTTTTATATTTGATTAGAACTTTTCATAGTTTAATATATTTTTCTTTATATAGATGTCACTGAGGTCTCTGGTAGTTTTTCATAAAGTAAGCTTTTTTATGTTTCTTTATCTTTTTGGTGGGGGTGTGTTGCTGGGGATTGAACTCAGGTCCTTGTGCTTGCTAGGCATGTGCCGGAACCACTGAGCTAAATCCGTGCCCCTGCCCTTTCTGGTTCTAAGCGCTTTGGTTTGTTTGTTTGTTTGTTTGAGACAGGGTCTCACTATGTAGTTGAGACTGACCTGGAACCCACTATGTAGCCCAGGTTTGTCTAGAACTCACAGCTGTCCTCCTGCCTCAGCCTCTGGAGTGCTGGGATTACAGGCATGTGCCGCCATGCTTGGCTCTAAGCCCTTTGGAATTGATTTTATGGGTCAGATATGCTATCTTTCCATATAGATAGCTGTCTCAGTACTATTCATTATCTATTCTTCTAATACCACTTTCATCTATTCCAAGTTCATAAACCAAGTACGTGGTTTACAGATTTTGTTTTATTCCATTGATAACTTTCACATATACCTGGATCTAAGACATACTTTTAAACTCATTGTAAGTCTCATTATTCATCAGAGTTGCTTTTCTGTTCTTGGCATGATAGTCTTCAGTATTTCTGAAAAAGACTGTACACTTTTGGACTTTTTGCTTTAACTTTATAGGAGAGATTGTCATCATTGAGTTTTATTACCCATAAATATGTCTCCATTTGTCTTTTATTCCTTTAGTGTGGCTTTATAATTTCTCTATAAAGATTGTTTATCCTTCTTTCTTCATTTAACCTGAGGTACCTTATAGCTTATTGATATGAATGGCATGCCTCTAAAAATAAATTCCTTTTACTTACTAGTTGTTGCTCAGGTGCAAATACTTAGTGCATTAAGATAAAATCTATTTTTGTGTAATTTTGGACATTGAACTTTTGTTAAGTACTAATGGAAGATACTATTAGACCTTTAAGAACATTTGATCAGCTATTCATACTATTTTGCTGTGTAACTGTTGTTTATAAAAGTCTTACTTTAGTTCATTTTAAATTTAAATTTGAAAGTAGTGAAATGGCATCAAGTGAATTTTTAATACATAAGAGAGTCATTTTCCTTATCACATACTTAAAAATAGTTTATTTTCCTTTCATTACTTGGATAGTGTGTTACTTAAGCACTTGACAGGTAATTAAATCTTACTTAAATATGTACAGATTTGATGACTTAACCCATTGGCTTTTTAATGTCATAGCATTACCTTGTTGACCATATATTGTTGGTTCATATTTGCCTAGTTTAAGCTTGGTGGTTGGTAAGTGCTTCTGAAAGAGTGTTTCTTGTTTTTAACCCCAAATGAAGATTGTAGGTCTATACGTCAACTACCGATTTGCTTTCTGTACCTTAGCAGACTTGAGAGTTTGTTGTTGCCATTCCTTTCTTTCATAACCACAGATATTCAAGGCCTGCTATACTGAAATTTTTTTCATTTAACTTCAGATTGTGAGAACTTTTAGGTTGTGGGAGGGGGAACATTTGGGCCTTCCCAGTCTGATCAGCTGTAGTAATGCACCTGTGTTTTGTGCCACCTAAACCAGACTAAATTTGCAGAAGGCAAACAGCCTAGGGATTCACTTCTGTGGACTATATGGAAAACTTTTTGCAAGGTGCAAGGCTTGCTGCCATGTTATTTTTAAGTAGCCTTGTCTACTAGCTCTAGCTTGAGTTTTCAAGTTACCATAAAGCTGCAGGCATCACTTGGGGGTTTGTCCAGAGCAAAACTCTAGAACCACAATTTTCATGTTTCTAGTTCTCACAGCAGGGCCTCTGAGATCTGCTATATTTAATGGATGCCTTCATAGTATACATTTTTGGGCTGAGTTTTAATTATTTACTGGTAGCTCGGTGACTTTTTATTGCCTAAAGAATAAAGTAATTTACTTGTGATGCAGCTAAATTAATGATGAAATTGTCAGTGTTACCTTTTTTTCCAGCTTGTAACATTTTTTTTCAAGAATAATGTATAAATCCTTATGTGATGTAAACAACAGACTAATATTGGGGTTTTTATTATTTTTTTATACTTCCTCTGTAATGTTTTGTCAAAGAAATGCTGAATTAATTTGTTCCTGGGTATATTGGCAGAACTTATGCATCCTTCAGCTGTAACAACAAAAATGTATTTCATGTTGTATGTTGAAAATTTACTTCTAGCTCTTGTTAGCCGTGTTTGTAAAGCCAAAGATAACCTTAGCCATGAGTGGTCATCAGCACTGAGGAAACAATATATGTCACAGTGATGTTTTTGAGAGCAGGCTGATACTATCTTTTTGTAAAAGATTAACATTTCACAATTTGCACTTATTTTGAATTTAAAGTCCCACTTATGATCAGTAAAAACAAAGTTGTATAATATTTTTATCTAACTGTTTGAACTTGGAATGATTTTTAACACTCTGCGCTTCCTTTTTTAGACAGGTGCTCTAGTTCACAGCTATAGGGGAACAGGTGGAATTTTTGAAGTTTGCTGGAATGCAGCAGGAGACAAAGTTGGAGCCAGTGCATCAGATGGTTCAGTAAGTATGGAAGTGTTTGTAAAAGGCTGGTGTGCTTGTGCGCCCACACCGGAATGAGGTTTATTGTAGTAATGATTACAAGAGCATTCTTTGCAAAATAAATTTAAGATATGGTACTTACTTTCCTTTCCTCCAAAGACTGTATACTTTTCATGTCCCTTGAATTCATATAATGTAAGCAAAATTAAAGCTATCTTTGCCAAACCACTGTCATCATAATCAAGTAACAAGGAGTTTTTAATGTAGACCTTTATTAGTGAGATTAAGTACAACAGGGTATCCTTCTGAGAGTGATTTGAATTAGTGCCTCCCTACATCTATCTTCCCTGTAGGAAGAGTGCTGCCTTAGGGAAAAGATTTTAGAGTCGGTTGGTTCCTGCACTAATGAATATGTGATACTTAATGTTCAGGATGAAGTTGGTCTTTTGTTTTATAAACATAAAAATATCAATTATAGCTTCCAGAGTTGTAAAAACAAAGAAAAAATGGGAAGAGTATAGCAGTTTGGAATTAGCTGTTTATTGAAGCTGTAGTTTAATGTAATAGGTGATAGCACTCAATAAAGTCCTAGAAAATTTTTTGTAATCCCCACCCCACTTTTTAATTAACATAGTAACTCCTAAAAATCCTAATCAGGTTTTTTTCTTCTGTGGTGTTAACTCATGGTTGTTTCCTCCACCTGCATAGACCATATGTCTAATTTCTTTTGGTTAAGTGCCATTCCATGATAATGCTTGATTAATTTTATTAACTCAGAACTAAGAACCAGATTCCAAAGTGTGCTGTAGAAAATTTAAAATTGAAATGTACATGAAATTTTGACTATACTTGTTGACTATTTTTAATTTCTTATAGGTTTGTGTATTAGACCTTCGGAAATAGCGCTACTAGTTGGAAGCCATGGACCGACTATGAATGTGTACATAGCCAAAATGACTGTCCCTGACCCATGTACTGCTATAGTCCCACTCGAACCATGGCCAGTCCACTACAGCCAAATCTAAAAGAAATATATACATACCAGTGTATATAAACAAAATTGCACCCTGAAGATGACAGAGTTTTGTCACAGCTTGTGAATTCTGTTCACCAAGTGCTGGAATCTAATCTGCTGTGCCCCTAAAATAGCATTTAGAAGTTTTGGATATGAAAAACAGAAGAGAGAAAGAAATATACGTTATAAAAGCAGACCATACATGTACCAGTTTTTGGATACTAATGACAGCCTTGTTTCTCCCCTTTGAATCAGCAGACACCATGGATTATATTCTTTTTTCCCCTTCAGTAGTGAGCAGTTTGTATGTACAGAGAAAATGGACTTATAAAAACTTACAGCAGTAGTTTGTTCTTGCTTTTAAATTTTGTTTTGGTTTAGATTATGGATGCATGAAGTAAGGGAGTGAATCAGTTTCTTTATATTTTTTTCACCTTTTAGACAACAAAAAATTCTTAAAAATACTTTTATGCATTCTTTTGAAGAGATAGATGTTTGGTACATTTTATGGCTCTCAGAGCATATATTCAGTTGGTGCATATTGTGAAAGGGAATTGGAAATTAAATGAAAACGTATGACTTAGGTCATGTCAATCTGTAAGACACATCAGTAAAAGGGTATTATGCTCTGGTTTTTTGTGGTTTTTGTTTTTTTTTTGTTTTTGGTGATGTGGCTTAAATACAATAGCTTCTTTTTGGGGGGAAATTTCTGCCAATTAAAGACTAGAAGGGCACAAAAATTTTTTTTAAATACCGTAGAGAAGATACATTAAAAAAAATCTTCTGATGTTTTGTAGCCATAACTAAATTATGGTTAAAATGTGCACTATTGTGAAAAGGAGCAAAGTAGTTTTGAATTTTTTTGTTTGTTTGTTTTGCTTTGTTTTCTAAGAGATTAAAATGTTTCTGGATAAGGATTAGCTTCTCTAAGTGTCCATCATTCTGTATAGAAGCTTAACTATGTAATGTAACCAAACTCCAGTATTAAAAAATCTCTCATGTTATTTTTCTTTATACAAAGCAAGATAACGGCATATAACACTGCCATTACATGGCAAAATGTTTGCTACCTTAGTTTGAAAAACAATCTTTAAAATAAAAGACTTGCTTCAAGGTGTTTTTAAATAGCAGTGATTCTGAATTTTTTCAAAAGTATAATTGCACTAACCTCCCTGCTGCTCGGAATTTGCATTTGTGGTACTTGTGACTACATTTTTTTCAAATATAGATAGATTTAAGCTGCTATTTTTTTTTCCAGTAATCACTACTATATCATGTCTTTTACTCTGTTTATATCAAGTATTTTCTTAAAGAACTAGATATCAAATCTCCTTGTGCTCATGCAACTAAAGTAAAATATACAGATAAATGTTAGCATGAGGCTATGTGTATGTATATTAACAGGGTTTGTCATGATTAAAATGATCCAGGAGTGTCAAGTTTGAAGAAAATAGTTGTCAAATTTATTTCTTACAGATTTTGATTAAGCAATTGCTTGTTTTTAAGCTTAGCAAATTAAAAACACTATTCTGTCACTAATTACTTTGAGGCCTTTATTACTAAAATTTTAGCCTGTGTTCAAAGTTTAAGTAGAAGTCGATTTAACCCAAGTAATGCAGCTTTGATTTGCATTTGTTGTTTTGCTATTTTTACAAAACAGCATTGATTGAAGCAAGTCTTGGTTTTACTAAGGTAGGGTAGCATTTGCTATTGGTAAGAGAATAAATACACTTAATTTCACAATACATTGTTACATGTACCCCAGTTGTTGTTAGTGGGGACTATGATACTGTAATAATATTTTTTAAAATTTACATCCAGAGAGACAGTCAGTCATGATGGTTTTGTGCCAGCTGTTTTTAGGGTTTTGGATCACATTAGAGATATTTAGAAGTTATTACCCTGTGACTTACGTAGGAAACCTAATATGCTGAGTATCTGGCACTTGAAATCCTGCTTTTCTTGCTAGAGGTCCACATCTATGGTTGACCTCTGTTGTTGTTTTAAAAAAATAAATAAAAATTTAAAAATCTGTGCAATAATTTTTAAATGTGCTCCCAGGAATAGACACAAATGTTTTGAGTATGTTTAAGCTGCATTTTCCTTTAGTGATGCATTTGTCAATTGCACTGAACTTAAATCTGAAAGAGGTGATTATTGATAGTACTTTTGTATTTTGATATGGACAGTTTATTCATTTGCATACAGTTATTGACTTTTTTCCCCCAGCTCATTAAAAGATAGCAAGAAATTCTGCAATATAGCTGCCAAAAAAGCTACATTTTTATGATATTGTCTTTTGTTTTTTAAAAATTCTTTAGCTATTGTAGTTTAGTATAATAGTCACAATAGGACATATAAAAGATTATAAATGCAGAGCTTTATTATCCTGAAGTCTTGGGTCTTTTTAAGTATGAACTCTGAAAGGTATCCATTTTGTAGGCTTGGGTTCTTCATGAATTTACGATTGTTTGTTTTTGCTGCTGTTCTCAACATCACCATTGCCTGCTGATGTGCCACGATGCTGCTCCAGTAGAAAAACAAGATCGTCTCTTAATTTGAACAGTAACATGTTTGCAAGAGATGAAGTTTCACAGCCTGTAAAGTTCTATATTTGGGGTTCTTACTCATTTTTCCTATTTTTTTTCCTAACAACTTACTCCTGAGGATCAGTTGAACCCAGTAGTTTTTCTGTGGTGTTCATTATAGACCATCGTTTTATACACTACTATAAGGAACTTACAAGGGAAAACAGGAAGGAAAATGAATGAATACTCCTTGATTAAAATAGACTAAAGAGCAGCTGCCACTCTTAAATGTCATATAGGAATATCTTTTTCTCCATGTAGGAAATTCTGTACTTATATTTGTTCCAATCCCCTATAATGAATCAGGTAATATCATTGACTTTCAAGTGACTTTTAGAAGTGGAAACTAGTAATTTCCTAATAGGTCTTAGAGTGTATTAAATTCTGTTTTACTTAATTATTCTCTAGGTAAGTATGTCTTAGGATTAAACATCTTTTACAGATACTGAAAGTGCCTCCTTTTGTGGTGTAAAAAACAAATTATGGTGCAAAAAAGTAATCACTAGATTGAACTACATGAAGGTTTTTTGCTTTTTGACATATAAAAATGTCAAGAGAAAGGCCAAAGATTTGTACTTTTCACTTATAAAGCACTCCTTTTTCCTTAAACTTCTTTCTGTCAAATTAGATTTAATGAGAGAGTACTATTTTTAAGGAGCTATCTGTTTATGTAGAGTGATTTTGTTAAGAGTAATGTAAACTATAAATGAGTAGAGGCCTAAAGAGGACTGTGCATTTTTGCTACTTAAAGGAATCACAAATGCTCATACTTCAGCAAGCAAAAATGACAAGTTTTACTAAGTAGAAAAGTAAATCTCAAATGCAGTGTTTACTCTTTTAAGACAATTTTCATTTTCTTAAACACATTGTGCATTTCTACAGAACCTGTGTTTATTCTCACATGCTAAGGATGGTACTTGCATATGGTGAATTACTGTTGACAGCTTCTGCAGAAATCCTGTTTCAGTGGACCAACATTGTGGCATGGCAGCAAATGCCGACATTTTGGGGAATAGCAGCAAACCCAGAAGAGACCCTGGTTGTCGTTTTTGTTTGCTTTGTTTTTTGTTTCTCCCTCTCCCCCTTCTCTGAAGCAGCAGGGATGGAAGGAGAGTAGGGAAGTTATGAATTACTCCTTCCAGTAGTAGCTCTGAAGTGTCACATTTAATATCGAGTTTTTAAAAACATGATTCTAGTTAAATATAGGAGTGGAAAAAGAGAAAGTGTTCACTTTTTTTTAATACACTGATTTAGAAATTTGATGTCTTACTTGGTAGCTCTGAGGTATTGATAGCATTCTTTATTTCTGCTTTCTGTTGACAGTGTTGAAGCAGGGTGAATAACTAGGGCGTACTATTTTTTTCCTAGTAAGCCAGCCATTCATAATGTTTTCTTTGGAATTTCTGGCTAAGTTCAAGAAAACATTCTGCATGTTAAATCTAGTCTGATGTACTTATCCATCTCATTACAAACAAAAACATGCAGACTACATTTTGTAGATCTGTAATCCTCAAATACAGAAATAATCTTCCTGACTTTGACATTGTAGCTGTGTTTTCATTTTGATTTTCACAAATCCTTTGGGTCTAATTCTGTGAGCCTACCTATAGCACTGGATTAAAATGTCTGCATCATTTCTTTAGTTATCCAGTTAACTTTAAAACTGTTGTAAAAGTGTAAACCAGCCCATGACAGTTTTTTGTACATGTTAAAGAACTTTATTGTTCAGTTTTCATGATTATTGTGTAAGGAAGACTGATATAAGATGTTCTATGCTGTCCTGGACCATGTTAATTACACTTATGATGTATTTTGGTTCCACATCACAATGATTTGTCCCTAATAACTCTTTTATCCTTTCTAGACACATTTTTCTTGTTGTTGTTGCGGTTTCCCTTTGCATTGTATTGCTTTGACAACTGTAATTTGAATCAGATCTGAAAGAGGTCCAGAATAAAATATATTTTGATATTATGTTGACTGTGTACATATATAAAACCTTTGATATCTATGTAGTTTGTATAGACTATTTACTAGTTAAGAGAGAGGGATGGTATTGTTTACAATTTCTTGTTTACATTTTAATTTCTTTTATTTCTCTAATGTTCTGTAGAATAAACCTTTTTGCTCTGAGTTAGTTCTCATATAACATGTCTATTCTCTCCCTTACTGCTGTTACCAATTATAATAGTAACTGCCATCAGAACCCAAATCATTGTTTTTCATAAACATTGTTTTCCAAGATACATGCTTTAAGCCCATAGATAAAATTACTAATTTTGCTATTTTATTACTTCTTGAAGGAAATAAGATTTTTTAAAATGAAGTGATTATTTTCTATTTTTATTAAAGAATAGTAGAGCATCTAATCAGATAAGGGATAGCAATTACTTGAGTGATTACTTTGAGTTACTTTGAAAAAAATCACTATTGTATTTAAAAGATTAAGACCTAACTCATTTGTTTGCTTAGCAATATATTGAAGATACTGAGGATGGAGGGTCAACTTCCTTATGACATTTTCCCTTTCATATAAATGAATTATAATTATTGTTGTCCTTAACTAGTTGTTTGTGTCATTATGAACCTAATCATTAAAAAAGATAGTAGGTTTAATCCCAATTTCTTTAGTATTACTTGGAGGTTTTTAAAAGAATCATTGAGCATATTTTTTGCTTGTTTTTTAAAAATCGATCTCCACACCTGCCTTTCTTTTTCATTTCCTTAGAAACAAATATAAGCTTATCCTGACCATGTTTTATTAGAGATGAGCCACTGCAGCTGCTAAACTAAGCTATTCATTTTCAAGGGGTTAACTTTTATTGCATGGCATATAGTTTGTTAATCTGTATTTTATACTTTTCCAAAGTGTGGGACTACTAAGCACTTGGATCCATATGAGCTTGAAGTTGAACTGGAATTAATTTGAGCAGTCATTGAAGGGATTTTTAAAAAAAATTTCATAGTTCTAATACTATGGATTATATTTCTTACCTATTATACTACATAGCCATTTAGTCTATAAAGTTTACTCTCTTATTCCAGTATATTCATTTGAAAAATACAGTGAGGGAAAAGCTCCTGTGGACAGTGGTTTTATGGTGCTTTTCTCTGCTGTACCAAAGGTCTCTGTCAACAATGAAATGTTAACCCTACGCTACTTTTCTGCATGCTTCTTAAATGTCATATTTCAATGCTTAATTGTCCTAACTTGTAATATTTTTGTATTAAAATTTTTAGGATTTCCTTGTAATTTCTTTATAACTTATAATATATTAAACACAAAGTGTTTAGTAAAGTACAGATTACAATTACTAATGTTTCTTTGGCTTGTTGGGTTTATATGATTAGTTGGAAAGACACTTTTAGAACTAGGACCGATGGAATGTACAATGAACAAGATACAATACTAACTTTCATTTATTCACAATTGTGTTTTTAAAACACCTAACAACCTTATCTGTGTTGAGTGGTGCTGTGATACTGACAGAACAAAAGCCTAGGTTGGACAGCCACTGGGAAGCGCTGCTTTGGAGAAACTCAAGCGCTGCATGAGCACGTCTGGTAATCAAACTCTTGCATTACAAATCCAGTCATACTGGCATCAGTCTGAGGTCAGACATCTGCAAATGTAAGTTTCCAGAATGTTCAGTTTACAAAACTTTGGAAAGTTCACATGGCCACTTACCTCTTGGGCATAAACTTTTATTGGTTTAATTTGCACACACTACTGAATTCATTATCTGATTGTCTACTTGTTACACAAGGAAGTCTGGCCCAGTTGAGGTTGAGTTCTGCACATTGGCCATGGATGTTGTAATGATAGTGTATAACGTCACCAAATAAAGTTTAATAAGACATAATGTAGCTATGTAGTACTTTTAATATCTAGCTGAAGTGGATGAATATTTTAATGTGAGTATAAACCCTGAAGTTGAGCAAGTCTGTTGAATTTAATAAAGTCTTAAGTCAGGATTAGAGGTAAGTTAACTTGTTTTTAAAAAATGTTGATTAACCTGGGGAGTGTATTAGAATCTTTTTAAAAAATAAAATGCATTGCCCTACACTTAGCCTATTGACTAGGCTGAGGTAACACCAGCTCAGTGTACTTACATTCATATGCTGCTTTGTTTTGTTTGGTACCAGGGATCATACTCCAGACCTTGCGTTTGCGAGGCAGGTGGTGGCACCACTGAGCTAAACCCCCAGCCCTCGTATGCTGCTTTTGCATTATACATGATGGGTTAGGATCATTGGCATGGTTTATTTATAATGTAGAACATAAGGTCTATAAAGAAATTCAGTTGCAACATGTAATAATAGATTCCTTTTCCAAACAACCACCACATCAGTGGTATCTACTATTTTTTTAATCTTAATGAGTTTATTGGTATAGTTTAGGTATACAGTACAGTTATTGGGATCTTGTACCTTTACATGGCAGATCTTGGCTCTCATTTTCCCCCATACCCCTGCCCTCCCTTTATCCCCTCCACCCTTCCCTATTCACAAACACTTTGTTTCCACTTTTTCCTTTTCTCATATTTTTTGTCCCTTATTTCCTTTCCCCTATTCTTCCCGCTTCCCCTACACCTTTAGCCCTTTACTTCCTATTTCACATTATCAGTTATACAATTTACACTTTTAGTTTTCCACAACAGAGAAACTTTGGTATTTACAGTCTTTATTTCACTTGAGTATGGCCTCAGTATGCACCCATTTTCCTATGAATAGTTTCTCATTGTTTATGGCTGAGTAGTACTCCAAGTGGTATCTACTATTAATCTACTATGGTGATACAACATCCTTAATATTTTCAGTGCATAAGTTAGAGTAAAACATATAATAAATGACAGTGTAATATTCATTGATTTCACCTTTTCAGTGAAACTATCAGATTTGCTTAGTATGTCCCTATACAGTAGATGTAGCATGACTGTAGGGTTCAATAGTATGCATTCTGCCTGACTTCTCAGGCTTGTCCTCCCCACACCACCCATACCAGAGATTGATCTCAGGACCTTGTACTTGCCAGGCAGGTGGAGTGCCACTGAGCCCCTGCCTGACTTCTCTGTATGAATCTGAGCACCACTATTGCTTTTTGATCTCATGTTTCCCTGTCCATTAAGTGAGGTTAGGGATATGTGTTACCCCGAAAATAAAACCTACCTGGAGAAAAAACTTCAGCTGTAATTAATAATGGCATTGCCATGCTGATGGCCAGTGACATGCAGAAGATTATTATCTCAATGTTTTGCCTGTTGGTTACTTTGTAATGACAAAGATAGGCTGGCATTTTTTTAAATCTCTAGTTATGTCATTTTCGTAGTTCGGTTATAAGGATTATGATTTTAATATCTTAAAGCCCTTACTGAATAGTTCCTTGATGTACAAAGTGCACAATATGTTACCATTTTGATTTTTCGTGGCCATATTGTACAATAAAACTAGGTTCTTTACATTTTATTTTTTGTTTGATTACTATTACATACAGTAGGCAATAAATACAGAGTTAAGTCTAATTTCAAACTTTCAGACTTAGAGTATGTAGTAATATTGCTGGAAGCCATTCTTGTACCTTATATGCCAAGTCAGCAGATATTTGAGTTTTTTTTCCTAGCACCACAGTACTTTTTTTTTTTTTTCCTTGAGTCTTAGTTCTTTTTTTCTTCAGCAAATGTCTGTTGAGTATCTGGTATGTTCTAAGAAGTCTGTCTGACACTGAATATGATTAGTGAGCTGGAAGAAAAAAACAACAAAACAGACTCTCTTCTTGTGAAGTGTAACAAGGAAAGGTATAGTTCATTAAGTGCTGTAACAGAAAAAGAGTTAGATTGAAGCATCTAAATTTACTTTTTCCAAATCAAGAATTTCAAGTAATGGCAAGATTTAAGCATTTCAGCCTAGTTTCAGGTATGAGTTTTATAAAAAAATCTTTAAAAGAGCTCACATAACTAGTCCTAGGACACCCAGGAAAATCCTCATTGTGGTCCATATTGTACCTATAGTTACGTATGTCTTTTGGTGCTCACTTACAACATTACCTCTCAAACACTCCATTGATTTCTTAACTATGAAAGGCAAAGAGATTAAACAATTGGTCCTTCAAGAGGCTGAACCACTGAGCTAAATCCGCGGCCCTTCCAGCTCAACTCTACAGAGGCTTGTTTGAAGTTTGTGATTTAGGGCTTTGCTAGTCAAAAAGGTAGCCATACATCAGCCTCACCTGCAAACTACTTAAATCATTTCAGGTCATACCAAAGGACTGAATGAATCAGCAGTTTCTATTACACCATTTCCCAGGTAAATTGTATGCACGTGAAAATCTGAAAAGCACTAGTGTAGGATCTAAGTCACAGAGTATTTTAAGATTAACATCTCCATTACTATCCTAAATTTCTTAAAGGCTTGAGACTGCCATAATAAATTGCTGGTAGGGGCAGAGAAAAGTTATGAAAAAGAACCTGACACTTTACTAACTAGAACATAAAGTGGAAAAACACTACCATATATAGATTGCTTCAAGGATTTTCAGTATTCTTGCTATAATAATAAAATATCTCAGGCTCTAGTGGATAGGGTTAACGATCTCATCCCTCTCTGCTTGTGTCCTATAAATTGGGCAGTAGTAATTACTGACTAAGGTTGTAAAGGTTAGGTAGGATGGTACCTGTATCTGTTTAAGCGCTGTCCATCACAAGAAGTATGACGAAGATGACCACCTGCCTGCCTGGAGGAAGCTATGATGACCTGTGAGAAACCGAACTACTGATTCCCTTTTGTTGAGAATTACACCATGCACATGTATTCACAGTTCTTCCTGTTCAATTTTATATAACATTTCAGCACTCACTTAAAAACTACCATAGTGGATTTCATTTACAAATGGGGCTAGCGAATTTTATCTTCAATGTATCCTTGGGTATTTGAGGCTTCATGTGTTTCTTTGTGCAGAAATGAATACTTGGTACCAGTATATTCTTAACATTTTCTTCCCCTTATAACTCAATTGATCATTGTCATAGTGTAAGTAAACTACCAATATAAGAATGTTTATTCCACACTAGACCTATGTGCAGAGTGATGATTGTCTTAACCTGCGTTTTACACCAGCTCTGCACAAGCTCCCAATGCACACTAAAACTGTGAATCCTGCTTTAGTGCTCCAGTCACCACTGCTGTGGAGATGTCTGAAGCCAATGTGGCCTCTGTAAGTTAAAAAAATCCTGGATTCGCACAGACTTTGGCCTAGAAATTTGGTTA